AATTTATTCCATTGGAATCGTAAATACGATCCAATTCATCAGACCTACAAATTCAAAAGGAAAACAGAAAAAACAACTCCGGAAATAAAAACAGAATTTAGAGAGAGTGTAAGTATGAGGGGGAGGGAGATTAAACCTTAACAGAGAGAATTTTAGGAAAGGTGGGTGGAAGGGGTTTAAGTAAGAGAAAATGGATGTTGTCGTATGTATAAAGATACATTTCGTGGTGACATACACACACCATAGACAATTTAATGTTAGAATAAGAGGGAGGGAAAGACGAGGTGGGGGAGAGAGATGGGGCGAAGGAAAGTGAAATTACTTTTACTTAAAGGGCCGCTTTGTAATTGAGAAAATTTGACAAATTTAATATCGACTACAGGTTACAAATCAAATATAAACATATAAAAAATAAATATAACGATTATCTAATCCAGCAAGGACCTATATTTTTGTGTTCAAAAACACATGCGAATACACATACACAATAACAAACAAAAACATATATATATATATATATGTGTGTGTGTTAATCATGTTCACCCGATGTAAAGCAGTAAAGCCAGTAAGATACAAGTGTTTAGTGGGTGTGGAAGAATTAGAATCAAAAACATTACTAAGGATCGCGACCAAAAAAAGAAGAATCGGAAAGAAACATAGAACAAACGGTAACACCCTGCCAACTCAATAGTAAATTGGTGAGATCTCGACGCCAGAACGCCAGTCTAGTACTCCGGTTAAATTGATAAAGTCTTGGTACCATAGCGAAGAGAACATCCGAACAATTACCCTGAAAGTATTTATGGAAAAGGCACAGGGTGGGGAGAAACTTACGGAGGTTGAAATTGACTGAATCAGGATCAATAATATGCAGAATATATATATATATATATATATATATATATATATATATATATATATATATATATATATATATGCAGTTTAAATGCTGCAAACATCCCTACAGAGGAGTTCGAACCCGCTGTTGAAAACCGAGCAAACTGGAGAAAACCTGCCACCTAAATTTTTAAAAAAAATCGTCTCAACGATGTGATAGAATTAAGAACCAACATTAAATCTCAGACCAAGACATCAGGCTATGACTGTCAACCCTTCAGCATCTCCTCGTATGGATTTGTTTGCAAAATCCGTGCAGGATTTTTGCCTCATACAAGATATAAACATAAAATCGGAAGTCTAAAACGACGGAGGGTATATCATATATATACATATATATATATATATATATATATTATATTGGGGGGACTCATCAGCAGTGCGCATCCACTCCCGACCAGTCTACCTCTTCACGGCAAGGAACCACCATAACACGTACACTGGATCGGCTCATCTCCTTGCTGATGAGTCCCCCCACCAAAACGACGAAGCACCCGTCAGTGCTTTCTGCATTCAGTTGAGGTTTCTTATTCTACACTGAATGAATTATTATGTGAAATATATATATATATATATATATATATATATATATATATATATATATATGTAGTTACGTATGTATAACAACAAATTTGTCGGTGTATACGCAATAAAAAAAAAAAAGAAAAAGAAAAGAGAGGGAAAAAGAAAGAAATGAGATATATGGAGATAAACTGAGTGAGAAAAATAAAAAAAGGAAAACAAAACAGAAAAAGAAAGAATACGGGAGAAAGAAAGAATCTCCCGACAATAAATAATTGAATCAAGAGATAGATAGATAGATAGATAGATAGAGAGAGAGAGAGAGAGAGAGAGAGAGAGAGAGATTTCAAGAGAAAAAGGAAGAAATAGAGACGAGAATGCACGACGATAAATCGTCAATCAAAGAGAGAAGAGAGAATAAGAAAGAGAATTCAAGAATCTAAGAAAGAAAGAAAAAAAATAATAAACAGGGAGGAAACTAGAAAAAAGAGAGTGTGATGAAATAGATAATGAAAGAAAGAAAAAGAAAGAAAGAAAAAAACAT